CTGTTAAATACAGAACTTATAATCACAATGTTGTGATGCAGTTCCTCGTTTACGCAGCCATGTGATGCAGTTCCTCGTTTACGTAAGTCATGTGATGCAGTTTACGCAGCCATGTGATGCAGTTCCTCGTTTACGCAGCCATGTGATGCAGTTCCTTGTTTACACAGCCATGTGATGCAGTTTACGCAGCCATGTGATGCAGTTCCTCGTTTATGCAGCCATGTGATGCAGTTCCTCGTTTATGCAGCCATGTGATGCAGTTCCTCGTTTACGCAGCCATGTGATGCAGTTCCTTGTTTACGCAGCCATGTGATGCAGTTTACGCAGCCATGTGATGCAGTTCCTTGTTTACGAAGCCATGTGATGCAGTTTACGCAGTCATGTGATGCAGTTCCTCGTTTACGCAGCCATGTGATGCAATTTACGCAGCCATGTGATGCAGTTCCTCGTTTACGCAGCCATGTGATGCAATTTACGCAGCCATGTGATGCAGTTCCTCGTTTACGCAGCCACGAGTAGTGACGGTGTTGCCACCTCATACCTCCTGGGTGGGCATCTGAATGATTGGCAGCTCATCTAAAGCAACATAGTCACTTGTTTTACTTGTCTCATCACATAAATTTTTGTACAAAATCTGAAAACCTTTCAACTGAATTTTTTTTAGCTCTTTAATTATATTCAAACTAATGCATAATATGAAGGAAAGGAGTACTTTCACGTAACTTTTATAGAATAAAGCAAACAATTTACAAGTTTATGCCATATGTAAACCCTATGTACACTGCATTTTTGCTACACAGATTGCATATATTTATGTGCATGGGGGTGGTGTCACAGCACAGGGTCAACATGCAGCAACCCTGCAGCGGGGGGTCACATGCATAACTAAAAGTGAGCGGCAGTACGGTCAATAACAGGGATACTGCAAAGAACATTCGACTATTACTACTATTATTTTAATATATTTCAGGAACCTTAATGTACTGAAAACTAATCAATGTATAAGACAAAATGTGGACAATTTTTAGAGCACATCTCAGGGGAGCCTTTCAGGGGAGGTCATGTCCTTTCCTGAGGAGCTCAGCTTTCCTTATCTCCCTCATAATTCAAAGCATGGTGACTGTCCCACTGAGACGTGAACCAGTGATCTTCACCCCAGAGAGGGGGAACAAACTTACTTATGCAACACAGGTTTTGTCTGCATTCTTAATCTACAAAGCTACGGATGGATATTTTCAGGCTCTTATCAATTATTTATTTAATGCTCCTTGCACCTTATACACTACATGTAGAATTATTAGGCAAGTACTATTCCAGGAGATCGTTTTTGGTAAAAGTTAGGCAGACTTATAAAAGTAAATTTAGAAGATTTCTTTTGCTCCAAGTAAATTAATTTAGAAAGAAAATTGTTACATTAGTCTGTCACAAACAAAAGTAAACAAAAAACAATTATCAATATTCCCAATTATTAGGCAATCAGAAATTAAGTGGATTTTTCTTTATTCATCAATCAATAATACTAATAATGACAAACAGTTTAGTTATTCAATCTATATAAGGAATAACTAACTATTGGCCATTCTAAGGGGCATTGTCCTGTAGGAATATCATAACCTTTAAAAGCTGCTGTCTTCTTGTTGTACCAGTGTTTGAAGAAAGTCTTCTTTAAATTGGCAGTCAGTTTTGTAGTTCATTTTTACACCATCAGCAAATTGGAAAGGTTCATCACTGATATTTGCAGCCCACATCATCACTCCACCAACATCTCATTGCCGCTTGAAGATGTCCACCACGGCTCCATCACAAGTCACGCTAAACTTATCTGTCGTCAATATCATGTAGGCACAGTCAGGGATGATCCACAGTGTGAAGGTATTTTATTATAAATGGAGTCTAACAGACCATAGAAATAAAAGGGACCACAAGGGGTCGAAGCACATTAAGGTGAAATAAAAAGTAACAAAAACTGCATTAACACCAGGAAGGGCTGATGGAAGCACAAGCACCACAAACATCTCCACATCCAGCACACACCAGAAACAACCACAATGACTGCCTAAAGCAGGGGTGGCCAATCTTACCCGCAAAGGGCCGGTGTGTATGCGAGTTTTAAGGGTAACCTGTAGATCAGCTGTTCAAACCCATGTGTGAGGACTCTTCAGCCAATCAGTCCTCTAATTAGTAATCTAATTAGGGCGTTGCAGCGAAAACCCGCATACACACCGGCCCTTTGCGGATAATATTCACCACCCCTGGCCTAAAATATAAGCCAAGGGAAGGCACATATATACACTGATAATGAGGAGTAGATGAGAAACAGGTGCGGATAATTAACGATGAAGCCTATGCTTCGGAATGAACACGAGGAGATACAAGGAACTAAAGTGTAACAAGACATAACAAAACAGGTACGAGTGGAGACAGCAAAGGCCTAAACGCATGAACCAATACAGAAATATAAACACAAGCATATAACAGCTGTGGGGAAACATAACTAAAATAGTCAGCCTCAGACTCACAACGGTTGGGATGGACTAATCACAACTACCCACTCAGCCATGTGGGGGCTCAGGGAATATGGGAATACACAGTTCATTTGTGTCTTCCCTTTAAATGTTTATTCCATCAGCTTTGCTGTTAGCCACGGGAACACTCGACTCTACCATGACTATGTTGTAAAAGTTCGGCGATTTCTATTGTTTTGCATCTCTCTGACTGGCACTTTACTATTTTTTTTTCACCCTCCTTAGTGTCCATTTTAACAGCAATAATAATTACCTGTTTCCGATTTGACAGCGAACAGAAAGTAGCTTATTTAAACCAGATACTGAGCATGCTCTATTTATAAATACTGCATTCTTAATTGGAGATTAATTTGAACATCTATTGCAGGAGAACATACACACTTGCCTAATAATTCAGCCCATAGTGAATTTATAGCTGAGATGTTTTCGACAGCTAGGCGTGTTATTTTGTAGGAAGGAAATTGATCCATCTAAATAAAGAGTAGGCCTACAGTTATGATAACCATACGTCCTCTTTTTCCCGTACATATCCTCTTTTTTGGGACCTAAAAATGCCTGAAATCTCCGGGACTTCGATTTGCTCTACGCTGGCATTTGCTTTCTATAGTCAGACTACTTTCTGTGTGAATATTTCCGTTGCTGTGACGCCCTCTTGGCCCCCGGTGTCCTCGCGGTCGTCCATTGTGAAATATTGTAAAGTATTAAAACACCAGACATGCACGCACAGTACGCAAAACGTTTAAAAAATACAAAAATTGATATTTTGCTATAAAACTAATTTATACCAAAACTCGCTGTTCCCACGTTTACGTATACTTATAATTAAGTTTTGTTACGTTAATCTGTACCTGATTCCCAATTCTTCCCTTTCTACTGTGGTTATTGCGAATCTTGACACAAGCTGCCCGAAGCGTGAAAGAAGTAATCCGATACTGACAGGGGATTGTACCAAAAACGGCTGGGGTATATTTGCACCTTTATTAAAATGAAATATATTTATCGTGACCAAATCCATAAACGAATTATATGTAATCTATTTAAGAAAACGGATAACGATTTATCGTCCATGTTTCATTTTTTTTGGCATTTATTCAAGATCTTTTTAAGGTTAACTCAAGTTTTATCATCCACCCCTGCTTTTCAAAGGACGAAGGACCGTGGTGTTTTGAGATGCGAAAGCAGATAATAAAATATTAGAAAAAAGAAGGGTTTGTATATAAAGATACATATATACATATATAACAGTAGCGATGTCTGTTGCATTTGCTTCGGTTCGCCCGAGAGGGAAAGGAGAAGTGACACAGCAGTCTATACAAAAGGTATTTTTTTTATCACAGTGCTTAATAGCCTAATGTTTTGTTGTTGTGGTGGTTTTAGTCGTTTTTGTCCATTGTGCAGTGAACTGGTATGTGTCATTCACTGGGGAAGAGTAAATTAATTACAGGGAAAGAGAAATTGTTATAGCTGGAAAATAAAAAACAAATAATAGTAAAAGGATGCTACCGGGATTTTTCACAAGGTTCCTCATAATCTTAGCCTAAGCAGCCGAAGGGAACAGTACATCTTCCATAACTGTATTGCACTGGAACAGTTAAAATAATGCTTAATTACGTTATTGCATAATAATAATATAAAAAAAACTAGTTCGGTTAATCTGCGTCAATAATATATAATATTAAGGTTAAAGACAAGCGAATAGTGCTGTGGTGTAAATGGTAGGCTACTGTATAATCATCACTTTCCGCATTACCTCGTTTGTGTCTTGAGCCGAGGACGATGGCTGTCTAGTGCAAATCTGTCTTGTAAAGCGATAGTCTGTTTGTTTTGTGTCAATCCGGCAAACTATTCCCCATGTCAAGGGAAGATGAATGAGCAAAGTGGAACAAACTGTTTGCTTGATGGGTTTTTACACTGCAGCCTCTGGTTTTCTATAACAAACATCCATAGGGGGTCGAGATTCAGGCTTTTTTCATGTGAATGAATAGTTTGAAATGGCATGTAGGCGAGAATGCGCGTGCTGTCAATCAGTGCTTCTTGCTTATATCTGACCAAGTAATGGAGAGTCAGCTGATCTGGACTGGCTGGTTTTTTAGACAGCATGGGTCTAAACTCACTGGAACACCAACTATTATTATTATTGTTGTTGTTGTCGTTGATGATGTTGTTGTGTGTTAAATTCAACTGTGTTCTTTCTTCCTAAGATGCTGGATGAAAATCATCACCTGATTCAATGCATAGTGGACTACCAGAGTAAGGGGAAAACGGCAGAATGCACGCAGTATGTATGATAAATTTTATGTTGGGATTAGAGTTTTCCCCACAGAAATGAATGGAGAGTCCCCAGAAAGATATAATTACAAACCTGTGTGTGTGTGTGTGTGTGTGTGTGTGTGTTCGCACTGTTGTCCCACCCAGGATGTTTTCCTGCCTTGTGCCCTGTTCTTTCTAAGATTAATCATAGTTATATTTACTCCCTTATTATCCAATTAGAAAAAATAATTTTCCTTTCAGCCTTCACAACATTACAGACCAATAGAAAATCTATGGAAAAACAACAATTCAGAAATTTCAAATTATGTGACATCATTTAATTCAGTCAACAGATAGATTAATTCATTAGCAGCTTGGATTAAACATGAAAATACACAGAAAAGGACCACATAGCTACACTGGTCATCTGTACTTTATTGCAGTTGCCACCAAGGCTTATTAACCGCTTTCAGGGTAAAGCAATTCCTGTATTTGAATATAATGCTGGATCCCTATTTTAAAATATTCAAGTCATAGCAAATAAAGTTTTGACCAGTTAGCCCTGTCTAAAATCCTCCCAAAACAGGTAATCGCAGTAAATGTTATACAGTATTTTAAAGTAATAGCTTCACATCATAATTTAAAAATAATTTTTAAATGCTTGCAGATTAATGGTTAATTTTGGTGGCTAATTTATCAAACCTATTTTCACAGGTATCAGCAAGTATTGCACAGAAACCTAGTGTATCTTGCTACAATAGCAGACTCTAACCAAAACATGCAGTCACTTCTACCTGCGGTAAGACTTTCATGTATAAATGACTGTCTCTCTGTGATACTGTCTGCTGACCCCTGCCGGATTAGTCCCCGCCAGGCAGGAAAACAGGCTGCCTATTGTTAGCTAGCTCTTCATTTTTAAAAGGAAAATCTGCAGTGTTAGCTGTTAGCATGCATTGACCACCTACAGTATCTTACACCCATGCGGAGTCCTTCCCGTTCAGCCGAATACCACAGCTATGATGACTTTGCATCTTTGGCAGAGCTGTTGCAGTGAACTTGGAGTCCAGTGTGTGTATGTTTAACTGCCGCCATTTCGCTTTGCAGCCGCCTACTCAGAACATGAACATGGGTGGAGGGGGGATTGGACAAACTGGTAACAGCCAGTCCCTGCACTCTCAGAGTAACCTGAACGACAGCATGGCCACCGGAACTCCACCCACGCCGCTAATTCAAGGGCAGATAAACAACGGTGAGGTTCATTCTAGGGCTCCCATTCGCGCCTTAAGCTTTAGGCTACGTCCCTCGATCCGCCTTCCTTTCATCTGTGGTCTGCAGACTCATCCCTTTATGTTTCTGCGCCCCCATCCTCGTGCTCCGATTCCGATGAGCCGGATATGTTCGCAGTTCCCATAATGCTCGGTCACTTGCACAGTATGTATTGTCAGGCCCCTGCCACACTCCCATGCAGCTGTCGGGCCAGACGTCCGTGGCCCCCACGTCTGCAAGCACAGCAGGCAGCAGCCCCGGCTCAGCCGGGGGTCGCAGCCACACAGAGATGTCCTTGCAGGGTGCACAGACGCAGAGCCACGGCCCGTCTGTGGCCAGCTACCCCTCCCGCAGCAACCACAACATGCAGTCCAACCAAGGTGAGCTAGGCGCATAGATGTGGTGCTGTGCGGCCAGCAGGAGTGGGCATCCTGCGCTCAAGTGTCTGCTGGCCAACCCACCGGTGTCTTTGGGGGGAGCTCAGATGCCGGGGCTATCAACCCTATGGGGCTATCAACCCTATGGGGCTATCAACCCTATGGGGCTATCAACCCTATGGGGCTATCAACCCTATTCACTTAATATCTATTATTAGGCATTTCAAATGCATTGTCAAATGCACATTATTCAATAAAACGTGCATTATGCAAAGGACAATCATAAAGAGGCCAATATAAATATTAATGAATATATAATCAATTATAATCTGATGCGTTATTAAAACCTATCAGTGTCTAGACTGCTATGTATTTCATTTAGATTCAGTTTACCGTATAAGGCATATTTTGTTCTTAAAATGCATCTCTGTATATTGACATTTTTATAATTTAGTTCACATAATTTCCTCACACACTGTTGTAAAATCCCCAATATCATACTAAAGGTTGTATTAATAAGTAAGCTTTAGATTTATTAATAAACTCAGCACATTGTCACAGTTCATCAAACCGAAGACAATCTCATCTTCTGAAGTTTAGTTCTGCCCCCAGTCCTTGGAAGGGCTGCTAGGAGCAGTTTGACCTGGCAACCTTTGTACTCCTACTGTCAATATCTACCTCTGTCTCTGTAGTAAACCCTGCGTTTCCTTATTGTGAGTTTATTACTTGGCATTATGATTTTATGCTAACCCTCTATGTTTTCCTCCTTAGATTTTTGTGTCTGTTCCTCTTAATGTGTATCATTTCCCATGACCTCCCCAGTAACAATGATGCACCAGCAAGCAGCAGCATCTCATTACCCTTCAGCTCAAGCTGGGAATCAGCACTATCAGGGAATGCTGGGACAGGGTAACCAAGGCAACAACATAATGGCACAGAGATCTATGGGATCCTTCCGCCCATCACAAGGTAGGAAAGGGGTCACTTTTCATACCTTTCGGCATATCAAGCCTCCCTTTACTGATTCAGGTCGTATTGGAGATGAAACGGATGGATAGATTTCGCATGACGGATAACAAAGGCAATTAACAAAATAATTAAATAGTTACTGTTGCAGAAAAGTTATGTAAAGAGGTCACTGTGTTTTACTTCAGGAGTTATAATAAATATTAAATATTAATAAAGTGATTATTATTATTAAACTGTTATATATTATATCAGCATCTTTTATTTTCTCTCAGTTGTTTTTGAACATTTTATCATTATTTAGTGCTATTAGCCATCAGAATAAATTTCAGCACATATCTGTGGTTCAGGGCGACTGTAAATGACTGTAAATGACTGTAAATGACTGTAAATGAAGGTGCAAAGGAGTCAATTTACATTTTGTACAGAGAGCATCAGACCTTTATAATTCACCTGTAAGAGAGATGGAGAATACCGCTTTT